CTCGAGACGTGCGCACCATGGGCCGTTCCCCAGCAGACGCCCGGCAGGGCAGCCCCTGAGCTTGCCTGTACGCTGGCCCTGTGGTCTCGTCTCCTGGCCAGCACCAGGCACTCTCTCCGGCTTTGGGGGATGGGGAGCCCCCACCCCGGCAACCACATGCACACGGACGCCAGGCGCAAGTCAGCCCTGCGCTCCTCTGCAGGGCCTCGGCCTGATGGCGGCCGAAATGAGCCACAGAGCCCCACCCTTGCGGGGTGCAGTCTCCCCCGGCCTCCAGGCTGGGGTGCCAAGTCAAACCTGGAGGTTCAGTGAGCAGCGCAGCAAAGCCAGCCCGGCCCCCTCTGGTGCAGGCACACTGAGAATCTCCACCTGCCTGCCTTCTCTGCCCTGGGGACTCCAGACGCAGAATTTAGCCAGGGAAGGGAAGAAAAATAGGGTGCAGTGCCTGGGTGAGCTTCCCAAGCCCCAACGAGGAGCCAGGTCTCAGGGGCATCTTGTCATCCTGAAAGCCAATGGCTCACCCCATGATCCCTACCTTTGAAAGGTAAAAGTAAGTTACACATTATTCCGTAGACCAATGGCGGCCCCCGCGGGCCGAGGGCTAATTAATTAATTAATAAGACTTGGGGGAGCCACGGGCTGTCAGCCCGTATGACCCAATGACCATCTCTATTCTTCTGACCCCGAGCCTGGGAGTAGCCTTAGAGCTCAGGGGTCAGACTGCCCTGCACAAACTCGGGGTCTGGCCCCTGCTAATCAGCCCTTCCGAGCGCCCACCCGCTCCCCACTCTGTCTCTGGTGACTCCCCTCACCGCCCCTGCACCTCTGGCCTGTACCCCAGTTCTATGTGCATAAATAAATCAATCTTTTAAAACACGACGTCAGAAGAGGAAGGGGCCTTCTCTCCCGCCGGCAGGAGTTGCCAGAGGTGGTCCCCTTCTCCGGACGCAGCTCCCCTCTGCCGCGCGGCCTCTTACACAAGGTGAGCCCGTGAAGGTGAGCCGGCCAGGCCCACCGGCCGCACGCCCCCCTCCCAGGGGAACCAGGGACATCACACAGGCAACGACAGCTGCCATCTGGGCGATGACCACGCGCAGGCTGGTGACGCGCCACGGCCACCTGCTCGCTCTGTGGGTGGCCTGGAAATTCGCGTCTCTTTCCTCGGGGGTGAATGGATGTGGCTCCTGCCCGAGACAGCAGCTGGCCCGCTGCCATGCGCACGGGGGCAGGCCTCGGTCAGCACGCTCACTTTGGGGGTGGGGGACACCCGTATTTCGGCGTCACTAATAGCAGCAGTAAGACGCATTTAGCCTTCGTCATGTTAAAAGCTTTACACTTCGTCGCTCTGAATCGTCACAGCAAATGCCTCTGATAGGGGCTGTAGCCAACCCCACGTTCTAGCTGGGGCAAAGAAAGGGAGAGTCGCTTGCCCAAGGCCAGACTCCGAAAGAACCCTTGGCGCTGAGATTAGAACCAAGCACATGGGCCAGAGCCTGCGCCTCCCATAGGGCCGTGGGGCAGCGTGACAGCCGGAAGAGCCAGCGTTCTGCCCTCCGGGTGACGCTCCCACAATTCCCCATACCCCGGGGCCCCGCTCTCTGCTCTCCGGGGGGTTCCAGGCATCCGGGCCTTGCGCTCAGCTGCCAGATCTGCCTGATTTCACCCATGTGTGTGTCTGTCTGGATTTGGGGGTGCTCTCCCTCCCCATCTCCTGGACACTTGGCTCCATCTCCTACGAGGACTGCCCAGCTTTAAGTCGATCTCTGCACCCCTGCTCCCCCAAGACAGTACCCCCAGACTCAGCTTCTGCTGCCTCAGACAGCGGATCCCCCACACCTCCTGCCCCCCACTTGCATCCAAGTGCTCACCTGGCCAGGTTCCTAACTGAATGCCCACACTTTCGCTCGTCTGTTCGCTCATCTTTTTTTACCGGCGTCCACCAGTCCGAGGCACAGTGTGGGAGCAGCGGGGGCAGGGCGGCAGGGGGGGCCCGCAGGCGGCTGAGCACACAGGGTCAGACACCCCCACCCCGTCCGTCCTGAACCTCCACACAACGCCTCCCTCAGCTCAAAACACCGAGAACATTTCTACGCTGGAACCCCAACCTCCTCCTCTGTGGGGACCATGACACTTTCTTTCAAATTCTAGACTTGACCTCAGGTGTTGCGTGACATTCTGAGAAGAGGGTCTCCGTCCCTAGCGAGGGCGCCTGCCCTCCCGGCCGGCCGGCCGGCCGGCCAGGGGAGAGTGTCCAGTCAGAGGCCCACAAGAACAGACAGGCGCCGGCCTCCGGAGCAGGCCCCGCTGTGTTCTCGCTCTCAGCAGGTGACAGCAAGTTAGGCAGTCACCTCGAGACGGTTTGTGTTCCACTCTGGCGGAAGCTCTGGTGCCTCTTTTTTCCAAGAAATTAAAAATGCAACAGAAAGGCTGTGAGGGGGGCTTATCTCTGCTTCCTGGAGCAGGTGAACACACACACCTGAATTACCTGCGTCTCGCTGCATCAGGCGCAAGAAGCCAGCACGCTCCTGGGGCCAGCAGGCTCAGTGAGCCACAGAGCACGGAACGCCAGCCTGGCTCGGGGGTCAGCACAGGGAGACCCCTTCAATACTCTGGGTACCTGACACATCACTGCCTTTCCCCAGGGCCTCAGCTGGCGTGAGCACACACAGGCACACACAGACACACACACACGCACACGCATGCACGCACCCCGTAAATCAGCCGAACAGGAGCCCAGTCTCACGCACGCGGCAGGTCTGGGGAAGGTGGGCCTGGAGACGGCCACAGGTGCGGCCTCGCACTTCTACGTCACAGCCCCAGGCGTGAAGCTCCCCAGAGCGGCCACTCAGAAAGCCTGTCCCTCTGGGGCAGCTGCAGGATTCCAGTGCACTGCCCAGCGTCGGCTGGCCCCTCTCTCCCACCCACGAGGACATAACGCGGACATGGGACATGGAGTTTCCCCGCCTTGGAGGGGAACGGCCGGAAGACCACAGAGGCAGGTGCGCTCCAGGGGCCCTCGGCGCTTCCCACCACTTGTTTTACAGCAAAGTTACTCCCCTGCTTCTGTCCCAACTCAAAACAAGATTTCAAGTTTCACTGGCAATGTGACCTCAGGCAAACCTGCTCCCCTCGTGCTGCAGAGCGGGGAGGAGAGGCAGGGCGGACCTCAGGGCGCTGGACACTGGACACGCTGCCCCTTGGCTATGGAGACCACAGTATCTACCACCCACCCTCGGGGGCGCTTCCTAAGGGGCATGTGTTGCTGCAATAGGGCCCTTCTGGATTTAAACTCCCTTGGGGTCAGCGCGCACGTCAAGTCACGTGACCTCCGCATCTACCTGGCTTAGAGTTCACGGAAACGCAGCTGGAGCCGCCGAGAGTGTGGACCCTCCCTCTGCCCCTCACGGCCCACGGTGGCCACAGCGAGGCCACGGCCAGAAACCGGAGCTAGCAAGTGCCCCCCACAAAGCAAGTTTGCCAGCTGCATCCACACGCGTCCTGGCCAGACCCTGGCGAGTCGGTGGAGACCCGGCACCCCCTCCCTCCGCTCCCACACAGTGGCCAGCACCCGGGCACAGCCCACGCCAGAAAACCCCACCACCAGCGCCAGAGGCGGTCAAGCGCCCCAGCCAGAGGGCGCGACGGAGGCCCACAGCCACGCAGGGACACTCGTGGACGGGCTGAAAATGTGGTTCCAGGTGCTAAGCCCACGGCGCTTTGTTCTTCCTGGCAGGTCTGGCCTGGTCACCTGTCACTGCTGCCGGGGGCCCCTTCCTCATCTCCGCCCGGACAGGGCGCGGCCACAGACGTGCCCGCCGCACCTCCCAGCAGACCCCACTGGTGTGCTCTATACCTGCCCTCCTGGCAGCTTACCGTCACCGCCGCTGGGTGGCACCACGAACAGTCACCGTCCGGCCTCACAGGGCATTTCCCAACCATCCCACCGTTCCCTGGAATGAAGGGTCTGGAGTGGCCAGGTGATGTCCCGTACAGCAAAGCCACCCGGAGCCGCCGCACAGCAGTGACCTGCAGAGCCCAGCCCCGCCCCGCCTCCAGCTCCCTGGCCCTCAGCCCACCAGCGCGACCCTGCCCGGCACTGACTCAGTGGGATCGCTCGCCTTGCTGGGCGAGAAGGTGGGGGTGAGGCCGCGCCCCTCACCCCCAGGCGCCCCCCTCCGCCTCTGCAACCCTCCTCGCATCTGTCTGGGGCTCCTGCTCCCGGTGAGGCGCGGGCTAGCCCTGACTCCGCCGCCACAGCGGCTTCCCCTCGGGGTGAATGGCGCCCACGCTTTCTCGGATCTGACGCTCTCGGAGCCGCTCCACGGCCCTGGGGAAACGGCTTCTCGGGGACTGGGGACACCCCAATTCTGGAGCAAAGTCAGACAGCTGTAGCGGAGCAGAGGGCAGCAGCCTGAGCAGCCTCCCGGCCCGCCCCCCGACAGCACGAGGCTGTCCCCAGAGCCCTGAGCCTCGGTGCCAGGCGACAGACGATGCCCGCTTCCCTCAGCAACCCGAGTGGGCGACTCCGCCCTGCAGTGCGGCAGCCATGTGCTGCTGCTGCACTCGGGGCTCCTCGTCTGACACCAGCCTGCGGGCCCAGACCGATTCAGAGTAAGAGAGTTGGGCTGGGGCTGGACGGGCACTGAGCTGGACGAGGTGGAGTCCGGCACCAAGTCGGGCTTGCGGGTGCACCTGGCACACACAGGGCGCGCCTGCG